TTCTGCTGAGTCCGCCATGTTGAACCGCCGTGTTTCTACAAACCAAACACTGGCTGTAGATACGCCCTTTTGTGTTTTTAGCAAGTTTCATGGCCACTGTTGTTTCTCTAACACATATTTAGTTAGTTGCAATCTGCAACTTCACCACCAGATGTCACTAAATCCCACACACTGGACCTTTAACGCATTCTCGAGAATAAACTCTGTTGGTATTCGTACCGGTGGGTCTCACTAAATAGACAAGATTCATGTATTTGACGTATAAAATATTGAAATAATATTTGTTTTCCTTGTCTGTCCTGCAGGGTGAGCTGTTGAGCCCCTGCCGCTGCGATGGCTCTGTGCGCTGCACCCATCAGCCCTGCCTCATCCGCTGGATCAGCGAGAGGGGATCCTGGAGCTGCGAGCTCTGCTACTTCAAGTACCAGGTCCTGGCCATCAGCACCAAGAACCCTCTGCAGGTAAAACATGAAGAGAATCTGCATCATGAACACGCCCACCAGTGCAGTGTTTCCCAACCTTTTTCTATCACTGAATAAACTGATGACCTCTGACATATTTTATGGATATTTTTAATATTATATTTAATCTATTACAAATAACAGAACAACTGAATGAACCCAAACAGTGAATGTAATAAGTAAAATAAGATTTGTTCCTGTGAATATTGAACAGAGGTCAGTTTTCTCTGTATGTAAATACACAAGTGATTTCTTCTCCCTGATGCTTAGTATACTTGCCTACTTTTCTAAAGCAGGACAGAGTTTATCAGAGAGTAAAAAAAATTTATTTTATTTATTTTATTTTTATACAATTCTAAAATTCCAAAAGAACAATGTAATCAAATTATTTAAATTTCCCCGCACAGGAATGAATATTTCTTACATATTTCTTAAGTCTTCTTACACTTCAATCAAGAAGGCCTCGCGAGCCCTAGTGGGGGTTGATAGGACAGCTTAGTTTAAGATAACAGGAAAGGGGGAGAGAGAGAGAGACAGAGAGAGAGACAGAGAGGATAACACAAAGCAAAGGGCCACAGGTCGGCATCAAACCCATGGATGCTGCAGCCTCGCCAGCTCTGAGCTACCAGAGTAATCAATAAAAAACTGAAAAACTAATTCTGGGGGAAACAAGGCTTCATGCACCATCTTGAATTACAGAATTTGAACACTCATACTTTGCCCCTTTAGTCTGACTCAAGCTGCACTTGGGATTCAACTTACAACCACAGCACAGCATGGCTCAGTTCAGGTCGGTTTGGCTCTTAAAACAACGCTCTCTCTTTCTCTGGGATTCGGGGATAAACATCACGTAAACAAGACGGAGATAGTATGTGAATATGTAAACGCTTTCTTGACATGCAGGTGAAACACAAAGGCTGTTGTGCTCTGTGAGGTGTAATGTTTTAAAATTCATGAGTGCATCAGATGGGGAGATCTTATCGCGCTGCTGCTGCTGCTGACAGAGACAGTTTCCTAATAACGTATACGACATACAAACGCTGCCGCATCCGAACACAGCACTCTCTGCTAGAACAAATCTCGGGCCGTCGCTGTGGTGTGAGGACTGTTTGCCATATTGTGCTGACACATTTTCCCTCTGCGTCACTGTCCTTCTGCCCTCCTTTTCAGAGGCGGCCAATGGCTCTAAAACCTATTGAGAGGATGCCATGTGTGTGTGTGTGTATGTGTGTGTGTATGTGTCTGATATTCGTTAATGTGTGTGTTCATCGTGTACTCAGATTTCTCTCTCTGGTGAGATATAATGTGGTGGAAAGTAACTGTACATTTACTCATGTACTGTACTTATGCACAATTTTGTGGTTTTTATAGTTAACTATTTCCATTTTTTTCTACTTCAGCCTTTTTTGGCTACAAATTTCTCTAAAACTGGGCATACACGGTACGATTTTGGTCAGTTTCTGACATGATTTTTGAGCCGCACGACTCATTTAAGAATTAAGCTGGCGTCGTTTGCCTCCAGCGTACCGCGTAGAGTTGAGACTGATCAACTGCTCCTGAATGGCTGTTGGACATTGTCAGGTTCTCATGCAGTCGATTCCCCAAAGTCTGTTCCTTTTTTTGTTGCCGAATTCATTAGTATGGTTACTCCTAAAGTCCGTACCAAGTGTGAACCCATCACCCATCGGTTTGTGGAGAACCGTTTTGAAGCCTGAAGTTTGCCGTTATGGTTGTTGCCATGACAGTTTGTCCGAGCCAGCGGAGGTGACGTACTGCGAGTTTAGCTGCTCTCATTGGTTGCGCAGTTTCGACTTAAATCAACTGAGAAGTTGACTCATTCTCCATTAGAGTAAATACCATCGGTTTCTTTGTGCAGCCAATGGAGCTCCCCCTGCTGGCCGTTACACAGAATGCATGTTTAAGTTGCAAAATACGCTCAAACTACACACCTTCATTCCTTTACTAACTCATTACATGCGATAAACAGTAAACATAGATCTCTGTTGTGTAAATGCTGTATATATTGTGCTTTTTTATCTCTAAAATTTAAATTTAAATAAAAACTGGCAAACAGAGCGACTGAAAGTAAGATGGCGATACAACGCTGGAGGCCGGTTGAGCAGCGTTCCTCTTTGATGTTTCCTCGTATCTCAACCGATGTGACAGATGAGAGACAACTGTTAGTAGCCAGAACGATATGCAGGGGCTGACAGGATGTTTTATTTTCTATTTTACACGTGCAATGTGTGCACTCAGGTCGTGACTTAACAATTGGACATTGTGAGAATATAAATAGTTAGTATTACATTGCACATGATTCCCTCGTACAGTAGACGGAGGAAGTAAACAACAACATTTCTAACATAAACGACCAGCTTATTTTTTTCTTAGAATATTTGTTTCTTCTCACAACCTCTCAGATTAATCTTGTGACCCTTTGGAGGGACTCGATCCCTAGGTTGTAAACCACTGGATTAAACTACCTAACTGTTTAGAAAGTAGTTAAAACTATCTCCACAAACTAGCTCCCATTATTTATATATTTCAGGCACAAAAACGAGTTGGAATAAAATTACTTTACATGTAAATAGACTGAATTATACTTTTATTTCTTACATTCTTCTGCTCTATTTGTGTGTATGAATAGTGAAACAACCTGTTATGTCATAATATTATAAGCGATTAGCACAAAACATTTGTACATTTTTATAGGCAATTGAGTCATTTTTCTTGTGTTTTATGTTCCCGGCAGCTTTATATTTGTTAAATTAACAAAATCACGAATCAGATTAACTGAGGATAACCAGCACGTCGGGTAAAGTCAGCTTAAAATGTGATGAACAGAAACAAATAATGAGGAACCAAAATAAACCTGGATTTAACGACTTCACATCGCTGTTCTTGTACTTGTACTTAATTAAACAATGTCAGTATTTCCTCCATTAACTGACGTTTCTCTCCCTCCAGTGGCAGGCCATCTCTCTGACGGTGATAGAGAAGGTGCAGATAGCGGCCATCATTCTGGGTTCCCTTTTCCTCATCGCCAGCATCTCCTGGCTCATCTGGTCCTCCCTCAGCCCCTCGGCCAAGTGGCAACGTCAGGACCTGCTCTTCCAAATCTGCTATGGCATGTACGGCTTCATGGACATCGTCTGCATAGGTAAAGGACACACCAGTGGACGCCACAATCCACGCGTGCATAAAACCACAAGTACTGCTATAACGCTGTTACAAACAGCGTTATAGCAGCAGTTATAGACGGATTGTTATAAGGATGAAAACATGGATGCAGGAGAAGGTTTAGGTCTGTGGTTCCCAACTCTAGTGGGGGTCAGGATAGAGAATATACACAGGATTACAGCATTTTGATTATTTCTCTGAAGAAAACTGAATATATTTTTTAAAGTTTAGATTCAAGCTTTGAAGATTTGAACACAAGCTTTATTCACAGAGCCTTCACTCTGAGAAACAGGCAGCATCAGAGAGAATATAATATAGAATTTGTCAAAATAAGAGCCTACTAAGTTGTTACAATTGTTAAAAATAAAACAAAACACATAATACAGACAGAGAATTGTATTAAAATATCAGGAAACTCATCTCTGATCAATATTCAGAGGAAATAATCTGATCAAAATTCATCCAAATCGCTCATTTTACACAAACTTCCTGCAAGTATTGTGTTCGCTATTTGGGTTAATCAGTTGTTCTGAACTGTTGCTGTGCATTGAATATAATATGAAATATGTCAGAGGTTGTCAGTTCATTCAGTGATAGGAAAGGGGTCCATGAAGGAAAAAGGTAGGGAACCGACTGCTTTAGATGATGGAGGACGAACGGATGCGTTATGAAACAAGAAAAGCTGCGAAGGAAGCAGGATGTGCTCTGCAACAACACCAAAATATATTAATAAACATAGGTTGCATTATGCAAGGACAAACCAACACAATGATAAAAAAACATGTATTCTGTTTGCATTCTGTCGGTTGTTAAGGTCATACAGAATTAAACAGAAGCCGAACTAAGGAAGCAGATGGTGAATAGGTAGGAGATGACAGCTACACTAAAAGCAAAGCAAATTTTGATGATGTCGCGGAGAACAAGAGATTGTGCTTTCTAGGAGCAACCTGGTTGACTGTTCTTGTGTAATTGTGACAACGCCGAGAACAGATGGCATCACATATCTGCACGCTGACTATTGCCAACTGTCTATTCTCATCCACGGGCGAGATTGGAAAGTTCCTACCTACGCTGCCGATTGCAGAGCCTTCTTAGCATAATATTTGATGTAAAGCAGTGGAAATTCATTGGCTTTCACACACTGTCCTTCACCCTGCCTCTTCTCCTTCTTTCTGCCCAGGCCTCATCATCCACGAGGGATCATCAGTGTATCGAATCTTCAAACGATGGCAGGCTGTCAATCAGCAGTGGAAAGTACTGAACTATGAGAAATCAAAGGACTTGGGCGACCCGGTGAGTTCAAGCAGCAAGACGGGGGCTCGGGGCTCTCGCGGGAACCCCCACGGTCTGGCCAGCAGCAGTGGCGGGCGACAGAGCAGGAGGTTAAGAACTATTCTGAACCACCACTGTGGATACACCATCTTGCACATCCTGAGCCAACTGCGGCCCAACGACCCGCGGATCAGCGCCGCCGCCAACCGGGAGGTGGTGATGAGGGTCACCACCGTATGAGTGGGACTACGGCATGTGTGATTGGATAGATCTCGTTTTTGTGTCCAGATGTAAATGAGAGGACGGACTTATGGACCTGATATTACAATACTAAAAGACTCGTTGCGGGCCCCAGGAAACTGTGGAGGAGCCGAGTGACAGACAGCGCACACGCTTGAGGATTTCCTCCTCGTGTTTCGTACAACCAAAGGAAGCCAGACGCTCCTTTTCAATAATTAAAGAACTGATGAAAAAAAGCATTAAAAGACATGAAACGTGAAATTTGAGGGGGGAAAAAAGTGTAAACAGGCTTTATAACGTAATCCAAGACGATGAGAGATTTTTTCCAGTTCAATATCAGGATGCACAGAGACATTTTCCTTTGATTTGATCCTCTTGGTTTGATTTGTATCTTCTTCTTTTTTCTTTTTGTTTTTTGGGTTTTGTTTGTTTTTTACTCACTTTGATTTTGTACGGATGTATGATTTTTAGAGGAAGTCATGTAACTCCATACATGCCAAGCATTTCCAGACAACTATGTATAATGATCTTAAAATTTCTTACAAGCTGAACCGATGCTGGTAAATAGACCGAAAACTGAAACAAACAAACAAACAAACAAACAAAAGCGAGGGGAACTGAACAATAAGTCATTACGAGTTTTAAAAAAGAGAAAAAAAGAGAAAAAGAAAAAAGAAAACAATAAGATTTCAGTGACACTTAAAACTTTCTGCAATAAAGATACGTATGTACATTTCACAGGGAATTTTGCATGGGTATATAATTTTATTCTTCATCACATAACATAAGCACATGACAAATTTGCTCTATTTCGAATGGTGCTTGCCAAAATAAACACTTTAAAAACATCTGATTTCATTGCACCAACTTTTTGTCGACATGACAAATGGCAGTGTGTTACAGCTATTTCAGATTGTTGCTGCTGTGTGCTGATTCAGATTTGATAATAAGTAAAACTATTGGATTAAAAAGGGGGATCGGATGATCTCTTACTACTCAGTCTCACTCAGTCTCTTCTTTACTCCACCTGTAAAGCAGCGGTTCCCAACCTTTTTCCTTCAGGGGCCACTTTTCTCTTGTTGATTAAACCGACTTAAGTGACATATTTTATGGATATTTCATATTATATTCAATGCTTAACAATAGAAGTACAGAACAACTGATGAGCTGTAAACAGTGAACACAATAACTGCAGTATGCTGTGTAACACGAGCCATGAATTTTGGCAGAAGTTATTTCCTGTGAATATTGATCAGAGATGAGTTCCTGAATTTTTTAGGATACTTTTATACAATTCTCTGTCCGTATTATGTTTTTTTATTTATTTTTTAACAATCACACAGACTTAACAGGCTTCTTTTATGACAAATTCAGTGTTTAGCTTAGCTTGCTTGTTATAACTGCGACCTTTTTACTGAAGGACGTTGAGATATCGACCTACTGTGTACATTTTTAAAGTTTTCCTACACAACTTAAAATTTGTAGGACCCCCCTATGAATCTTTGGCGACCCCTAGTGAGGGTCCCGACCCCCAGGTTGGGTACCACTGGCTTAAAGCATGCATGGCCTGATTGAGTGTGTCGTTGTTTTTTGGGTGTAAATGTAGTGAGCTAATGTTATTTTATGGGGACATCCTTTATTTTAAATAGCTCTCTTTTCTTTAATGAACTTGTTTAAACTGAGACTCTCCCCTGAGGTAAAGTGAAATCACTGGCAAGCAGAGCTGCAACAAATAGTCAATTAATCAATTAGTCGATTGACTGAAGATTCATTGGTAACTGCTTTGATAATTAAATCATTTGAGGCTGCTTTTCTCTGTTTTATATCTTTGTAAACTAAATATTTTGGGAGTTTAGGACCATTGGGCAGATAAAGAGAGATGTTTGTAGGTGTAATTTTGGGCTCTGGAGAGCTGTAGGGAACATTTTTAACTATTTAATTTAACATTTTACAGACTAAACAATGAAGCAAGGCAGTTTTATTTATAAAGCATGTTTTATACACAAAGGTAGATTCAAGATGCTGTAAGTTACAGGAAAGACAGTTAAAACACGCTTAAAAAGAACAGAATTGTAAAAAGCATAATAAAAAGAGATCAAAATAACATAAAAGAATAAAAACAGTAATAATGAGACAGAAACAAGAAAATAACGTAATAATGTAAAAAGCTGCAAAGACCATTAATCGATTACCATAATTGGTAAAATGATGATAAGTTGCAGCTCTAGATCAGAGAAATATCTGCAGCTCTAATAACATTGTAAAGTTTCCCTCTTATAGCAGCTATATGCACTATTTTTAGCCAGTTAAGACATTAGAATCTCTCAAAATCTGGACATCATTCGGGTGGTAGAGCCAATACGTCCTATTTATTATCTACTGCAGAGCAAAGTGACCTCAATCTCATTTTCTTTTGCTCATATGTGACTCAGATCCGATGTTTCAAGACAATGTGAACAATCATATCAGAATTCATGTGGCATTTACGTCACTGTAGATCAACATTCATCAGGACTGTGACCTGTTCACACTGTGAACAATGAAAGAAAAATCTGATCTGAGTAATAAACACTAAGGCATTCAGTGTGAAAGTGATTGTTCTTTAACTGTCTTCATCATCCTGAAACAAGAACCCAACAAATGTTAAAGATGAATCATTTTCACTCCCGCCACCTAGAAAGAGTCCAATTATCTGTTTTTGTTTTGAGGTTATATAACATATGGAAGGGAAAGAATTTAAAGACGATATTTGGCTCTATTGATTTTCTGGTCCAGTCGGCAGTGCCTGAATTGGACCCAAAAAGGTGCCAGTACTTTATTTTTAATGCAAATTAACTCCCAGAAACTCTTCTTTCTTATGAATGTGTGAAGAAGGTTATGCTGGACATCATTCACACACATTTATATATATTCAACCAAACACACGACACTGTAAGGACGATATTGAAGGCAAAAACCAAAAGTTAGATAATATAAGATATAAAACTTATCAATTACTAAAAGAAAAGACTTAAAGGAATAGGTTGTCATTATGGGAAATTTGCATTTGTCACAAAAGGTTGTCCAAAGGTAACAACATGCAGCTCCTCTAGCGCAGTAACACAATTACACTTCTTTTATTATGGATAAACAAGGTGTCTTTAGTGCTGTTTTCTTTGCGTTAAGTTAGCTGAGACCCAGTTTAGGAGAACCTCAGCAGCACAGGTTTTAGAAACACTGAGCTCCAAAAACTGAACTTACTAGAGGAGAGTTTGGGGGGCATCAAAACATCAAAGTATTATAGTATTTTTAGGCAATTATTTCCTGACTTTTATTGTCTACTCCTTGTAAATAATGCCGTTGACCTCAGTGGCTATGCTCACCAGAGGTGGCAGTACTCAATAATCATGTGGACAAATATGAGTGAGTCAGTAATGGTGAGTACCGTCACATTCCCGGCACTCACAGTCAGAAAGTTTGATAGAGACAGCTGAAGATCAACAGGAAAGGGGGGCAAAGAGAGAGGGGATTCAAACCCGGGCCGCTGCGGCAACTCCGTACATGGGTCACCAGCTTTACAAACTGAGCTAACCAGGCGCCCAACTTATAGGAGGAAGTTACAGATATCGCAGAGAAAAACCTACTGAATAAATATAAATCTACTGAACATACAGAAGGAATGTTATAATAAACCAAATAAATCAGTTAATTCCAGCAGTGATATGTTGACTTACTGTCAGGGAATAATAGAAGCAAACATCAAGAACAGTAGAACATAGTGACATTAAGTGATTACAATAAGGCCATACAATCTGCACTCTTATCTTGTGTTATCATGTGTACACAGAATTTGTAGAGCAGCTCTGAGGGGCTGAACTCTTAAAGGTCCAGTGTGTCACATTGAGGAGAATCTAATGGCAGAAACTGAATATGATGTTCATAGGTGTGTTTTTATTACTGTTTAATCACCTGAACAGGAATGAGTGTGTTTTTGTTACCTTTTTTATCTACAGACCTGCCATGTTTCTACAGTAGCCCAGAAGGGACAAACCAAACACTGGCTGTAGTTTCTCCTACTCACTTCACAGCCCTTGTTTTTATTCCCATCTAGCAGTAAAGTTGCAGATTGCAACTAACTGAACACTGCTCGCATCTGTATTTGACGACCCTTGAATGAGAACGGGAAACTACGGTGGCCACAAAACTCCAGTTTCATAACAAATGAACTTAAATTAATTTTAAAAATAACATAAAATAGAAATCTGTTATCGTCACATTTTAGACTAAGTGGCAATTTATTGATTTCTAATGCCTCCTTTAGATTTTTCTATTCAATGCTTCACTAATGTGCCATGATGATATGATGTTTTCCAAGCAAATATTGATATATGTGATTGTTTGCATATATTTCTGCCTCCCCTTAAAGTCTCCATACCGCCTTCTGGCCACCCCATGAATATTTCTATCCGCCCCTGTCAGGACCCCCAGGTTGGGAACCATGATGGCACCAAATTCACTGTGAATGCATCCAACTGCTGTCAAATCAGATTCATCATCAGAGATCCAGGGACAATCAGCTGCAGGAGAAATCATCAAGGTTTCATCCTCAGTGGAGACCAGCATTTAATTTTAATCCATCAAATAGTTGTTGAGATATTTCAGTCCGGACCAAAGCGGCGACAGACAGACAGACAGACAGACACTGTCATCCACAGCTCCATGCAGAGTCTCTTCTGACTGACAGTGAGGGCCGACCTACACGCCTGTACACGTCACGCTGATGACAGTCGCTCTCTTTTAGACATTTTGACACGTCACAGGAAGAGAATTTTATTTTTAAATGCTTTTATTTTTACAGTGACAGCTGAAGATAGACAGGAAAGTGAGGAGAGAGAG